ACACTGATGTAATATTTCAGAAAATGTCATAGAAATAAAAAAAAGAACAAGTTGAAAAATATAAGATATTTATAAAGCACCAGGAGAGACTAAATTCAACATTTCTGCACTCCTAGAGACTCCAAGCACACAACAAAATGTATTTAACAGCTAAAAATGTAGATTTTTTTAAACCTACGATATGTATCTTAATTTGACAGGCCATGGTTTCTTTTTCAATCACTTTTCCAGTCATGTGTCACTTTTAAGTATTTGTCCTTAACTACTAGTGGTGGCTCAATTTCTAATAAGTAAAAGTAGGATAATTTACAGAGAAACACACAGGACAATAAATTAATTTAAATTTCCTATTATGTATTTGAGCTAGCCTATGAGAGAGGGGAAAGAACTGGGGAGAAGTGCTCGGAGTAGTTACAGGATTTACATTGTAGGTTAGGTTAAAAGACCTCGTAGACCCGAATGAACAAGACAGAGGTGGTACTCACAGTGGCGGGGCTCGGCCTGTCGGTGCTATAGGAAAGAGCAGGCTCTATGCGGTCTGAACGGGTTGTTGCTGGACGACATGCCGTTGAGCAGGGGGTCCTGCTGGGCGTTCTGAAGGCAAAACTGCTGGAGGTCCGCTGCGGCCTGGGAGACCTGTGGAGGGGGAGGAACAACCAAAGCTTTAAAACAACTCTTAAATTGTTCGTTATGTTTTAGTTAACAGCGCAGAATATGTTAACAGACTATGACCAAGAAAGACACGCCCTAGAGGGGTAAAACTAAGTAACAAAAGAGTTTCAACACATACCTTAACTCTGTTGATGCCAGCTTCGAGACGCAACTGTTGGACAATTTTCTTCATCGCGATTATGTTGGCTGTCCCCGGCATTATTGCGACGTCAAAATGGCTTCAATTTTCAGGCAACGAAAGTAAAAAAGAATGTTTACGGAAAGAACTCTTTGTTGGTAGCCGGCCCGCTATCTTTTTTTTTTCCCCCTTCTTCGCTGTTTCCGGTGTGTAGGAGCGTCAGCGACTGCTGCCTTCAGGTTACAATTAGAAATTACATTAACTGCGTTTCCTGTTTGATTTATATACGGAACTTTAAGCAAATTTATTTTATTTTTTATTACTGTGACATTTGAAGTAACGAAAACAAACTGGTTGTACTTTTTTGTTCATATGTTAAAAGGCACTATTCTCCATAAGTCTTTGAAATTGCATTTTGCAGTCCGTGCTTAGAAATTAAATTATTTGTGTTAAAAGCATGATAAATCTATTTTTGTTTCCCAAAGTTTATCCATTATTTTTCCAAAAAGGTTATGTTTGATTCTATGATTTAAACACAATTCTATACAGATTTGTTTCAGGAAGAACAATTTCTTTGTATTTTAAAATCCTACTGTCCCTGAAAGCAGCATCATATGCGAAGAACTGGCGTCATCTACTGGTGAAACTGTCAATTCACACTAATAAAACAAATGCAAAGTAGAAAATACAGCTGTTGTTAAAAATGTTTTAAAAACTCGTGAAAAACATAACCTTTAAAATATACAGGGTTTAAATTCTCCTGGAGTTGAATTAATCACAAGTTTTAAGTTTTTCCTTTCCAACAAGCCTGCATCAGCACCAGAGCAACCAAGGCTGGCACGCTCATAAAAGAAACTCCACTGGGTGACCCAGTTTAATTACAGCAGGTTGCTTCTGGAGCGGCTCAGTATTCACAGTGCACGTAAATGCACGTCTTCCAGCGAGTACACAGAAAACATCCATTTCTTTGTGTTTCCTTCCCTTCCTCTTGTTGGATGTGAGATGAGCAAAGGGAAGCATGAGACAAGCCAGCTGTAAGGTAAGGCTTCGTTTTTCATCTCTGCAAATTCGGTTTATATTTAAGAATCACACATTTGTAAAATAATAATATTACCGATCTGTTAATTTCCTGATTGTGCAGTTTGTGGAGCTTCATGTGCTGTATGTGCCAGGAGATCAGTGGAATGTGAAACTCAATAAAGTCCCAGTGGAAGCCACGGAGAGTTTCATATCAGCTGGATTCATCAGGTAAAACTGATGAAAATGTTTAATGAAATAATGTCAAATTAAACAGTTGTGTGACTGCACGTCTAAGTATGCTGTCTCTGCAGTGATGTTAGTGATAAAAGTTGTCCTTCCATCACATCACCACACTGCCATCTAAGGTCAAAGCAAAACTTCCTGTACAGACCCTGCTCATCTTTTACATACTCAGCCAAGTGTCATCGTTGGAATGTGTATTACGCTTTACTAAAAACACAAGTGTGGTCATGTTTCTCCTCTCTCCGACATGATTTTAGGGCTCATCCCGACATCACGTTAAAAACTCTGAGGAGTCAACTAGGAGCTCTTTTTGGCAGCGAGACAAGCATCAAGAAATACTTCTTCCTGAGATGTGTGGGTCGTAGTTTGGCATTGGTGAGTGATGCTGGTAGTTAAATGCCCTTTTGTAAAGCTGATTGTGCTTCACAGACTGTGCTCTATTCATGGGGGGGAGGGCTACACTGAAGTTTGTAAAGAGTTTGCTGAGWATAAAAGTTTTACTGCAGTGTTTGTTGCATCTGTCTTCTCCAGGTCAAAAGCAGACAGGAGGAGGACCTGAAAGTGAAAACATTCGCTCCTCCTTATGTACGTAAAACTGTTTCCATTCATCAGATTGTTGCTTTTGTTCAGCTGCTGTGAGAATGTTGTTGTCACCCGTCGGCAGGCTGCTCAGCCGGAGCTCTATCTGCTGTCCGCCGAGGAGACAGACAGCAGTTTCTGCTCCCAGTCCTTCGCCACGGACACCAGCAGCAGCTCCCCAGAGCAGCAGATCTGTTTCCGCCCTCCCAAGACGTGCGGCGTGCCAACAGGGACAAAGGAGCCCGTTAGGTTCCCTCACATCCCCCAGTGTTCCCAGCAGCCACCTCCTCCCTCCGGGCTGGAAGAGGAGGGGGAGGACGGGGAGGAGGAGGATCAGAGCTGCAGCTCTTCAGAGGGAGAGAACGAAGCTCTGTGCTCCATCAGAAGAGAAGAGGGGAAGTCTCACAATCCGAGACTGCTGCAGCTTATGTCACTGAAAAAAGGTAGAATTAAGACAAAACAGTGGGCCCATCTTTAGTACATTATCAGATCCCACTTTGCTTACTTTACAAAGCATTTCCTGGTTATAAATCTAGTTTTAGACGGATGCGAAGCTGATTCAGCTCAGGAGGAACTCTGCAAAAACACAAAACATGACAGAATGGGGCCTTCAGGAGCAGAGAGGGACTCATGTTTCTCCCTCACAGACAGGTACTCCGTGTCCTGCAGGACTCCAACTACTCTCATCACTTCTTTAAAACTTTTTTTTTCTGCTTTGCACAATTAGAAAATCCAAAGATGCACACACACTGACATCGCTCAGGAGCAAACAAACAGCTGTGGTAACGCCATTCAAACAAACAAAATACATTTCAGTGTTCGGTTTTTACAGAGAACAATCTGATATGTTCTTTGGTATTGTTTTTAGGTGTCAGAAAGTCAGTCTGTCTTCTCACGACCTGCTTGTTGTACGACCCCACCTCCAGGTTTAGACCTGGCATCTGTCGCCAAGAGAACAACCGCTTCTCTGGTCTTTCCTGCAAACAGTAAGAAGGTCACGCTCTCAGTTTCAACGCTCCTCCGATTCAATACAGCAAACACGTATTCTTTCTGTAAGAAGAGACGCTAATCCAGGAACTCCAACTGGTGAAGGAAGAGAGGAAGCAGCTAGAATGGACGAGACAACAGCTCCTGAGAAAAGGGAAAGACTTGTTGGCCCAGAACAGACATCGCAGGAACCAAGGTGGCCACACAAAAACTTTGGATGATCTCCACTTAGTTCAGCCAGAAACATGAAATCCCAACTGTCTTTATATATATATATATATATATATATTAGGGGTGCAATGATACAGAAAATTCACGATTCGTTTCGGAACTTTAGTCTCACGGTTCATAGTTTTTGATACAAATAACCAAAATTTCCATGCCCTTTTTAACTTGTAATTTATTGAAATTATTTATGAACATTTGTTTAACCTCAAAAGTACGTTTTTAAATTAAATTTAAACTTCAATTTTGCTGAAACAGCAAGTTTTTCGGAGGATCTGCGCTCGAAAATACAGCCTAGATAGAGTAGTCGAACACAGATCCACTGATCCTACAACACAGAGCATCTTCAGAAGACAAGTTTATAAAATAAATTTTAAAAATCTGTATCGTTCGATACAAGTGTGTATTGAACCTAAAGCACTGTATTGAACGGTTCGATACAGGTACATGTACAGTACTTTTGCACCCCTAATTATATACTGCATACTGTATACAGTATATAAACATAAAACTTGTCTGGTAGACTGCTATATATATATATTTTTTTTTGCAACAATGCTTCTTGACAGTAAATCCTTATTTTGCACACCTGATTGGCAGCACTTGGGGTTACCAGAAGATCAAAACAAGAGTCAATAACAGCAGCAGCAAAATAAACGGTTTGGCAGAGATTTGGCAAATTGTTCATGTGCACAATCCACATACCCAGCTCTGCTGCTCATCCCACATGCATATTCCTTACAAATGTGGCCCCATTTAAAAGGAAAATTAACAGGCTTTCCAACAGGGCAAGATTTATTGTTGAGAAGCATTGTTACAACAAAGAAACAATCTGCCAAACATAATTGACCTTACTCTTTGTGCTAAGATTGCATATGTAACAATTGAATTCTTCTCTCTGAATGTCAAGCACGTGACAGCTGGAAAAAGAAGTACTTTGAAACCAAAAAGGCCACAGCACCGCTGGAGGACAAACTGAGACACGTCAAACAAGAACTGGATACTTTTTACAGCAAAGTCCTGCACCAGCTCCACGCCAGGGAGAGCAGAGGGAAACCGAGGAAGGCTTTGGAAAAGGTTTGAACAAAATCACACAATGAGGAGAGGTCTAGCAGAGCAACTGCAACCAAATGCTTAGAATATCCCCATCGGACTRTAAGCAAGAAGGCCAAATGCTTTCATCACAATACTATCTAATCAAAATGCTATAATCTCATGATCAGAAAAAACTTAAGATTTAGATTTAAGTGAAAAAAATAATACATTACCAGAAATACTCAGATCACAGCGACCAGCTGAGTATTATCATATCCTGTGAATTTTTTTTTATTCCCATCACTGATGTCCTATAAATTGTTCTGCTTTCAGAATGAGATCATCATTCAGATTATGAAGGCGAACTGTGAGATCGACAACCTGAGGAGGAAAGTAGAAGATGCCAAAATGAAGCTACTAACAGAAATGAAGGTAACTTTCCTCTTAACTGTTAACATTTGACTCTGAACACAATTTAAACCCAATGTAAAGACATTTCTTCATCCGTGTAGCTGAGGAAGCAGGCTGCTACAGAGCTGAGAGCCCTGAGGGCCGAGCTGACTCAGAAAAGGAGCCAATCGTCTCATCCAGAACTGATGGGAAACACGACACGAGACAAACTCAAAGTTTCATCTACAGTGTGATGACTGTTCTGACATTAGAAAATAAATGTGACAAACTTTATGTAAAAGATTGAATTATTTTGTGATTTTATTTTCGAAATTGCTCTTATAAACAAAGTAAAAAAAGTTCGTTCATGAAAAGAATGTGTGTATATCTTAATTTAAAGAAAAACATGAAAACATCTGTAGAAAAAAATCACAGGCTTTTTCTGGTTAAAAGAAGGTTTAACGTATCAATTTAGAAAACAAGCAAGAAAAGCAACAATTGATGATTTAGTGCAAATATTCATCCCTGAGGAGAGAACAAAACTGTTCTTTTCCTAAATTATTTCTTTACAGCAGCAGGTGTAAATGAAGCTTAGTTAGCACCCAAACAGGGCGTTCCACATCTGGGTGGTCTGCTGCTGGGCAACTGGATCATCGCTGTAGTCCAAGATGTTGCCATTCCACATGCCGATGCCCCTCAGGCCTTTACTYGTCACATAGTTGGCTTTGGCGCAGATGCTCTGAGGGTCATCGTACCAGAGCTGATGAGTCTGCCCGGCCTGGTCCTGCAAAACAGAGAAATAGAAAAAATGGACGTCGCTTTCAGGGATGCAGATGGAGTGTCTTAGCATGAATGAATAAAAAGAACAAAAGCTTAATCTACTCGAATAACCTTCAGTCTGCAATGTCTCCTAGATTCAACTACAAAAGGATTAACTTAAATTAACTATTAACAAAAGTGTGCACCTTGTAATAGAAATAGGGAGCCTTCTGCTCRTCATCCCACTTCCTGCCTGACGAGCTGCCGAGCTGCTTCATGATCCACCTGTACGGTTTCTGTTTTCCAGCTGCGTCGCTGCAGGGAGCTCCACGGAAGGGAACTTTGGGTATATAACATATACCCTCCTGTTAGGAAAGAAGACAGCACCACAGTACTGAAAAATATAATCTGCTCCATACTTAATTCCAAGAGGAGGAATTGTCCATTACGCACATACAAACAAGACTGCAGGAACTGGAGTTCAAGCTATAAAACTTTTATTAACGTTGTTTACTACTAGAGGTAAGATTGTCTCCAAGTGAATTGGCAGAAAAGCCTAAAAGATGRACCATTAACAATATGTGGTCGAACTTCAGACAGGAAAATGTAAAGACTTAAAAATAAACTAAACAAGTCTGTTATTATTAACTGTCAGACCATTCTTGGTTGTGTGGATCAGACATAGACTTAAATATAGAAYACTAGACTGAGCMCYGCCCTTACGGTCCACTGGTATCGTCTGTGACAGCATGGAGGAGCAGAAATGGCGTCCAAAAAGGGCAACATCTTACAGCCTCCATAGAAACTAATAGATAAACAGCAAGCTGAACCGGATCTGTTAAGCCTGTTTCACAGATTATCTGTCATGTTTTTAAAATAAATTAGTAACTATGTTAATTTCATTCAACAATCATGTAAAACATCAGACTTATACCAGAAAAAATATATAATTTATAAATAACAATGATCTAAACCAGACCTGAAGTCAGCCTGTAAATTAGACTTTAGCTAGTTGAAAAATGATGACTTCAGCTAGTAATAAAGTATATTTATTATTTCTTCTTACTGTCATAAAAATAATATTTATATTTACCAGGCAACAGTTAGAAAATGTTCTCTGGTTATAGGATGAAACTTGTCTCTATTAGCTAACATCTTCTTAACAGGTCAGGTTCCTCTAACAGAAACCTAAAAATACTCACATTTATAATATTATTTTACACTCTGTAGGTCTAAATATTAATCAGAAGACAAATAAACTGCAATATTTAATAGTTTGTGTTAAATTGTAGCATGATTCAACAGATCTGTATATATGCTCCACAAGCTAATATCTGCTAACCAGTTCAATAAA